AGAATTTCATCGATGCAGTCTGAATCATTAGTGAAAGGATGTGGAAGCACATTCTATATGTGAAAAAAGAAAGAGATTGACAAAACTATGTTTCTATTAGCTACTTGTCCTTGCTACCAAAGTTTCCTTGGTTTAGCACATAAAAGATGGGAGCATTTTTAACAGCTTCACTAATAGGATTTCGACTATGTGCAATTTAAAGATTTACATATGGTTCAGCATTATACAAAAATTAGACAGTCTTAAGCATCTTTGCTTTTAAAAAATTACTCATTATGTAATCTTTTTGCTTCACCAGCTTGATTACCAAAGCTTTTAATATGAATCAATACTCAACCTAGCTGTTAACTTTGATAATAGTTTCATATATCTTGTCTTGACTGATTACTCTCCAGCAATTTAGATTTGCATTATTACACTCAGTTATTGTCTTATTTTATCCTATATTTTGGAACATTTAAGTGGGACTTTTTTCTACAAATTTGTGTTTTGCAGTCAATTGTAGCCCTTTCAGTACTGATAAAGATGCAGTCCATCAGCCTTACATCCTTAAAAGAAGTGTACGCTACACTGTATAAATCATAGCTCCTTAAACCATAAGGATTTAAGCTTACCTGATCGCGAAATGGAAAAGCTTTCTTTTTTCCAAAATCAAATTCCTTGGGGTTATAGTGAACAATCTCTGGCTCGGGAAACCCAGCACCCTGCAATTAGATAAACAAACAACAACAACAAAATGAACCCCTAAAGAAACCAATAAAATGAACATGTAACATCAACAGGAAATATTTAATTTCTAAGTTATCAATTACCTTAGCACATGCCCTTGCTAACCCATCAAAGGTTACATATTTAGATCCTGAGATGTTGTAGACTTGCTTGCTTGCTTTTGAATTGCCGAGAACCATGACAAATGCCCGTGCCAGATCCTGTAATGCAGTTGCTTTATCAAAGGCTGCCAACAAGCTGACTTTGTAAATAATCATTGCCTCTAGGATAACCATACCATATTTCCGAAAAGAAGTGAATATAGCTACATAATAACCACAATGATATAATAGAACCTCGAACATCCTTTGATGAAGAACTGCTCAAAACAGAAGCAGATGCTAAATGAAGAGGCATATGGTGGCAAAAGAACCAGGGACTGATAAGTGGAACTGATACATAGGGTGAGATACAAGAACTTATTGGGTGGAGCTGACATACAAACTTCTTGCAAAAAACCACACAATAAGCATCATGCTAAATCAAAACCATTAAAGATCGATAGCTGCATATATTTAGCTGTGGATTGGATTGAGGAGTGAGCTTGTAGCATGTGAAGTCAAGAGAAGCTGCTTAAATGATGTGATCTTTGCGTGCCATATTAGGGTCCCAAGCATGGAACAAGGACTTATTTAAGATCACTTTGAAATGGATAAAATAATTAAGGGAAAATCAATTAAGCAAGTACTAAAATCCAATCTTTTGAACTAAATATGCATTATTGGGTATATAATTAATAAACTAAAAAAATTGGGAAAAAGAAAACCGCGGAACCAAGAATCTTTTGGAACAATTATGTAGGGAGGCATGGATGAAGCATAAGTTTTACCAAAGGAAGAGACTGCAAAAATAGATCTGACTTCTCTAGTGGAGGATATAGCCTTCAACAAATAGGAAATGGGCGTAACCAATTAATATTGACATGGCAAAGTAACAACTCAAAACTTTGTCATTTCAATTACAACAGCAGAGAAAGCAAGCCTGCAATTTCAACCAATCAAATTTATAGGGTAAGCTGGGACAGATGCTAGATAAAGATTGAGCACTCGAGTTTTTATGGTGGCTTGGAGATGTAAAATTATCAGACTTGAAAGGTCCAATTTTTGTCGTGCATCTACAGAGAGATATAAAGTTGTTTTCTGTGCAATTTTACCAACCTTAACATGTCCAAGCTGGGTGATTTGAACCCCAGAATTGGGGACTGGAATTGGCCTTCCAGCCTTCAAACGATGGAAGAACCATTCTTCCACGGGGTTGTAATTCAAGGGTCCATATATGTAGACTGGCCGTATGGAAGTCCAGTTTACACCCCTGGAATCCAGCAAACTCTCTGTTTCAAGCTTCCCTTTGTGCCTGCTCTTTGGGTCAACTGCATCAGTCTATTAATTGCTTTCATTAGAAATTAGTGATACCAAAATAAAAACCAGAAACTTAATTTCCATAATGTCAGACCAAAAAAATCACCTCAAAATGTGGCAACAAATCAGATTTAAGATAAACTCCAGCAGATGAGCAATATATGAACCTGCAAAAATTTCCAACAGGCATGCCAAAGGATATAATAGGAGAATATTAAGATAAATTACCATGGTGTTTAAGAGCATATGAATTAAAAAGTAAACCAAGACCACCAATTTGATGAAAATCATGTTAGATTACAACAAATAACTAGCAATGATAAATAGTCCTTAAAGTAAAGTATTTAATGAACATTTAAGAAGAATACAAATAATGTGTTGGATATACTTTTGCTTTACAATGACATACTATTGTTTCAACATTTTACGAATCAGGAGATTTGAAAGTGTATCCAAAGACAGTAGGTTAATCAACATTGTCAAAACCATTTCACAGCATAGATTATCAACTCTACAACAATTTCACTCTTCCATTTCCCAACCTTAAGAAGAAAAATGAGAGAGAGAGAGAGAGAGAGAGAGAGAGAGAGAGAAGCTTACTGCTCTAGTTTTGGCAGTGCATCCAATATAGGCTCAACCTCAACAGCTTCACGACCTGAAATGTAGGATTAAATTAGGCTCAACGTCAAATATAGTGATGTTCATAATTCAGGTACAAGCATCTTCGTCCTTCAGTCAATTATATCTTGCAATAGTACATATGATGAACAAAAGATTAGGAGAACTAAAAATTAATTGAAGGTTCACCATTAATGTCATAAATGACATCAAAGCCCTTAGCTGCAAGGCTCGTCTTCACGAATTCAAAGTCCTTTCTGTCCCCTTTCAGATGCAAGATCTGCAAGCATGGGTAGCCAAGAAGTAACATATCATAATCTAAAACTAAAACACTACACATATTATTAGGTATATAACCAATTTAGTGATAACATGGGTGCTCATAAGATTGAAACACAACATGGGAACCGGCAATACTTGTCTGATTCCACTTACACGATTTTTGATACTCACTCTCAAAGCTTATATTTGTATTGGGTCATTTCCTAATAGCTTAGACTTGGGGATTTCTGGTAATCGAATAAAACATTCATCATAGTATCAGAGAAGTTCATGAGTTCAAATCCCTCTTTCCCTGTGTTTGTTCTTTCTTTGGGCTCACACCAGATATTCCTAAACTGGTTTGCACATGAGAGGATACGTTAAATCTTACAATTACTAAGTCTTTTCGGATTAATGTGCGTCCGATAAAATCTTCTTCACTCACAAAAATAGCAGGATTAAAAAAGACAGCATTTTCAATCATGTTACTTGAGAAAGTATTAATGAACCATAGAAAGGGCTATATTGGAAAGCTAAGTCAAAGATCATCATGAAGTTCTAATATTGCATAAAAAGACTCCATCTTCATGATGCCCAACCAATGTATGCATGTATCAAGCAAATTCAAGAGATCATTTCTCCTGAAAAGACCCAAAACTTGCCTTGGATTTGAAATCCTCATAGTCCTGATCAGACTCACCAGGCAGCTGCTGGGTGATGGGTGCCTTCCCCCGAGTAAACAACGTCACCTACCAACCACAACACCTACCTTCTTCTATTACATGTCCACTGAAATAGAATAACCAAAAGAGCATCCCAGAATTGCTCTTATTGCAGGAGTCAACGTAGAATCAACAAGAAATCAAAACCTGGTGGCCCTCTTTTACAAGGAGTCTGGACAAGAACACACCAATGAATCTGGTGCCTCCCATGATGAGGATCTTCTTGGCACCTGATGCAGTGACCTGCAAAGCACCCTTTGGCTGCCATGTTCTCCTCCTCTTCTGCACAACATTGAAGTCGGACAACAGCTTAGCTTAAGAAGGCGTCCCCCAAATGGAAGGGAGATGGGTCCTTACTTGGAGTGAGATACTGAGGGCCGCCCCGCTGAACTCAGACAGAGACGAGGGGAGGAGCGGGGAGGATGAGGAGGCCCAAGGAGAGGCCTGCCTTGGTTGCATCGCCACCAGCCTAGCCATGGCCCCTTCTTAGGCGAGCGGAGTCGACGGCCTCGCGAGGTGAGCTGATGCGGGTTAAATTGGTTGCGGAGGTGATGATGGAAGACATCGGCCGTCCACTCTCGTCCGCTGCCTCACGTTTTGGCGAGGATAAGTGACGACGCCTTCGCTCGTGTCCACAGCTTTTGGGTGGAGAGACACCTCTCGACCTCTGATCATCTGCACAACTTTTAAAGGTCTGGTATCAACGGTTGGATGAGTAGTGGAAACCCCGAGTTGTCTTTTCCACACTAAAAGCCCACCGTGGTGAGATGAGACATTGCACGAATCTTTTTGATCATCTGCACATCGTTTAAAGGTCTGGTATCAACGGTTGGATGAGCAGTGATTCGATGCAGGTACAGTTTTAAGCTCCGTGTCTCCCTCTCCTGCCCAGGTACTGTGTTAAACTACTTCCAACACACAAGTAGTGTTTCTATCTATGCTCCAATTTGATCTGCCATGGTCCAAACACAATCACCCTGTTGCAGATTAATTATCCTTGAGGGCATGGATGTCTTGGTATGGAGTTTCAAGTGGACTGATTTCATATAAAGGATTTTGATGCATGACACTGATTGTTTCATGAAACACTGATTTGGACATCCCCATTTCATGAAACATAATTAATCACAATCTGCCAAATCCTCTGATCTTTTCACAAATCTATATGGGCCGGCCCACAAATCTATATGGGCCTGAAACGTTAGATCCGGCTGAAACGGGCCCAACCCGGACCCATCGAACCGGACGATAAACCGGTGTTGAAGGACCAATAACATTGTCCGCGAGCACTGCCGTGGGACTCGATGGTTCTGCTTCCTCGCATCCACCTCGCGAGAGGGAACACGTAGCGGCTTTCTTGTATCTCAATCCGGGCTTCTTCTCCCCGATCTCCTCGTTCCCCTTCTTTGCAAGGTACTCATCTTAGGGTTCTGATCGACCCCTTGTCGCCCTCAAGGAATCCGACATTTCTTTCCCCGATCGGATTCGGCCTTGTTTTCCGTTTCCGTGTCCAATTGGTTTTCAGCGGAAAGACATCACGATTCGGGACTGTGACTCTCTCTCTCTCGATAAATTCTTTGTGCTGGATGGATGTCAGATGGGTCTCTTGACTGTGGTTTCGTGCATCTCTAATTGATTCTCTAAGAGCCTCGTGGTTTGTGTCACGAGCAGTGGGTTTGAGCAAATAGGAGACTGATCGAGCGCCGCTTACCTTCGTCCTCCCCTTTCGCAGTACAAGAGATATGAAGCTCGTCCGCCGCGACCTTGTCCCCAACGGCCCCGGGGGCGTTAATGTCTGTTCGTTTGTTCCTCTCTTATTCTTTCACTAGGGTCTGGAACCCTAGATCTCTTTTAGAAACTGAACTTGGATTTCACCTCTAATTTTTTCGCTCTTTGTTACTGGCTTTGCGTCGTCTGCAGCTCGTCCCGGAAGAGGATGATGACATGTGGCACGCGTACAATCTGATTTCTGCAGGAGATACCGTTAAAGCTGCGACCGTCAGGTAATTTTTTCTTTCTTTTCCCTTTTTATTCTGGTTTCTTGGTCCGCTATGTGTAATGAGTATTAAGGATTGCAGCTTATTATTTTCTTGTACTTGTGTCGGTGGCTTGATCCCGTGTTAGCAAGGTTGCCAATTTCTTGTTAAACAGTAGGCTTTTCGTTGATTGTATATGTCAAATTGTTCTTGATGTGATGGGTTTTAGAGAACATTAATTGTTGTGCACCTTGAAATATTAGGTCAATTAGCATTTGAACTTATAACCTCATGCTCCAAGGGCTTACTGATCTACTTCTGTATCATACCATCTCTCATATGATTTGGTTATGCAAATAATGTTCATTCTTAGAAAGCATATTCTGGATTTGCTTGTAACCAACTTTCCACCATGTCACAGGAAGGTCATTCGAGAGATGGGTTCTGGTGAACGCAAGTCTGACCGTGTTAGGTTAAAGCTGGAAATTAAAGTTGAGGTATTATTTGGTTTATCTCTTAATCAAGCATTCAATATATCCTGTTCAAAGCTTATCCTAGATACTGTGCACAAAGTCAGCATGTGGACTGTTGGAAGGTCCCTTGATAGTATTGTGAGTGTTAGGAAAGCAACGGGCGAGTTGATGACCATGATGGTGGAAGAATAAGCAGTTTTGTTGGTTCAATCTGTTGTCCTACATTTTGATTTTGAGGATTATATTTGGCATATGAGGGTGTCATCTCATAATGCATGACATCAGCATATGACGCTTCCATGTCCATGATCTCCTTGGTTTTGTATTTATTGAATTTTTTTCTTATTTGCTAATTTCTTCTGTATTTGTTGTTTTTTTTGTCAGATAAATCGTTGCATCATTTATCTTCTCTTTTGTATACTCGCTTTTAATTTTCTCATTTCTTCTATAAAGTTCAAGTGATCCATGTTGGTTCCTTTGTTATTTGAGTTTATGAATATTTTCCCTAACTTTGAACATTGTGTTTGAATTCATAGGGCACAGATTATGATAAGGAAGGGTCAGTCTTGCGTATAAGGGGAAAGAATGTCCTCGAGAGCGAACATGTTAAGGTAAACTATCCATAATTTTTGTCTTAGTCACCAGCATTCTGGAGTTGCTAACTTGTTTGTACCATGACAGATCGGACAATTTCATACCTTAGTGATTGAGCCACATAGGCCATTTCTGCTAAAAAAGGTATAATCTGAACTATTACCATCTAAATTTTAGCTAATATTTTCTGCATAAGAATGATTAAAACTACTTGTACCTAGATCTTTCATTCTGTGATATGGTTAAGATTTGAATAACCAGTTAATTTATAATGATCAAATTTTAATTTCTTTTGTTTCCTTTCGTAATCAAATGGGGAAAAGGAAATACAGCAATATTCCTCATGTCATTGCCCTTACTCATCAAAATAAATAGTTTAAGCTTTGTAATGTGTTTGAAATATGACATCTTGTTAACTTAAGCGCTGGTTGATGTATGGTTTAAAAAACTGGTCACAACTGCAATGCTCTGGTTGGTTCTTACTTGTCCAATAAAGCATCATTAGTAGAACCATAAGCTTGGTATTGCCTATTACTACTTCTTTATTATTGTTTTGTGTTATACCATGGTTTCATACTAGTCTAACAGGTAGTTGAAACGAGTATTGGCTTGTATTTAAGACCTTGCAACGTAGACTTCAATTACATGTAGCATATTTGGATATTTCAACTAGTTGAATTCTGGTGTAATTAGGGGTTAGGAAGATACCTACCAAGCCAATTATTTGTTTAGACTTGATAGAGTTCAAGGATTCTCATGTTTAATAGAGTTGTAGCCTGTTCCTTCTTGTTTCCTTATTTGAGTCAATTGAATAACTATACTTTAGTCCATTTTTCATTTTTTATCTAGGTTGAATTTACAGACTTATTTGTTTCAGTCCAAGAGCCAATTTGTGCGTACTGAATATTTCACTATATTCAGTCATTAACATTATTTCGCCATCTTCCAGGTACTAGTGGGACAAACTTGAATAACCGGAAATTTAGCTGATGTGTCGCTTCTGTTTTTATTACAGAAATGTCCTTGATAAAGTAGGATTAACCACCGGTTACTACACTAGTATTTGTAGGAAGGCAGAGAAGAACAGGTCATAGGACCATTATTTCTCTATTCTCCAATATTTGTGGACTGGATTAGCGACTGGTCACTACACTATTTGAAGTATAAAATCTCTTTTTTCGATCTTTTGGTAGTGTGAGAAAACTGGCCCGACAACCATAATATTTGTAATAATTAAACATTGGGAAGATCTTTTTCTGAAGCTTTAATTTTTTGTGTTTTACTTTCATATATTAGCTGCTGGTTGTAGAACTACAAAAATGCACATTTTATTTTTAGGTCTAACGACAAAAGAATGTATAAGAATTTATAAATCAATTGACTGTTGAATGTCCATCTCTTTTCTCTCTTCAAGTGAGAATTCAACAACCTTTCCTACTTGTTGGTGGCTATTCACCATTTGTGTGTATTGGTAAAGACATAAAGCTTTTTGTTGGATGTCAATTGCCCAGTTGCCATAGCACAATCCTTCTCCTTTCCACTTGACTGTTGACAGAAAGGTTCTAATATTACATGTAGATAGGTAGAATTAAATAATATAGTAGTCCTTAAATTATTTGAGGGTGTTGCCTCAACAAGTTAAAAGGCAGTGGTATCACCGTAGCTGATTCCATAAAGCTACAAATGAAGGCTTTCTTTGATTGTTGTGGGAAGTAGTGATTTAAAAAGCGCTAGGTGCCAAGGTCCAAAAGCGCTTGGCCCAAGCGCTCGCCGGAGTGAAGCGAGATGCTAAAATATAAAAATATATAATATAATTAATAAATATAATTATTTAAAATTTTAAATAAAAATATGCTATTAAATTAAGAAAATCTAAGATATAAAATCAAAATAATATATTATTAATCTAACAAATACAAATACTATTATTAGTATATTGTTAACAGTATACAGAAGGAGAAGAAGGAAGAGGAATGTAAGGGGGTGTTGAAAGAGAAAAGAGGAAGCGGCAACGGCAGCGGGAGTGTAAGGAGGTAGCGGCAACGGGAGCGAGAGCGGTGAGCAGCGATAACAGCAGCAGCAGCGAGCAGCGGGAGCGGCAGCGGCAACGAGCAGGGTTAGGGTTGGGCAGCGACAGCTGATATCGGTGCTTTAGTTGGTTCAATTGAACCAACTAAAGCACCGGAGACCGAACCAGACCTAAAACGCTGGTTCGGTCACCTGGTTTAACACAGGCGCTCGCCCGAAGCGCCCAGCGCCTGGGCTCGGGTGAGCGCCCAGGCGGCGCCTCTTTGAAGCGCGCCGCCTGGAAGTGAAGCGAGGCACTCGGGCCTCGCCTTGCCTCGCCTGAGCACCTTTTTAAATCACTGGTGGGAAGTCAGACATAACCATTTTATCTATATGAGTATGTTGTTTCTGTCACCTGCCTGTTATTTCTGGAGTTATAGTCTTGCCATAATAATTAAGAGGTGGGAGAAGTATCTTGTCTTGTGAAGTTATATCGATAAAGAACGCGTCCTTTGAGTTAGCGTTGACCATCAAGATAATGTCAATATCTTGACCTTTGCTGGATCACTTTGTATGAAAATAAACTTGTTCATCCTTTTTACATAGGGGATGATTCTGCTTATACTTTGTTTCTTTTTTATTCTTGACAGAGCAGTTGTTTTGGTTTAATAATGTAGGATATTTGGGATTCGGTGGCACTCGATATACTTCACCAAGCATGTGGTATGCTCCCTTTAAATGTATATCTTTCGCAAATAGTTTCAGAACTTTCCACTAATTTGTTGTTTGTCGTGGTTGCTTGCAAAATGTTGATAATCTGGATGTCATTTTAGTCATCCATGAATTGTTTTAAGCATATTACTCTAAATCAGATCATGGAATGTGTATTTACTACTTAGTAAACCATGGATCCTTAAACCTTGTTGTACCTATTCCTTGGTTAACGTTATTGCTTATCAAATTACTATTGGACATGTAGTTTTAACTTTCTGAATACAAGGCAAGGAAAGGAAAATCATTGTATCTTGGAGTTTGAAAGTAGTGAATTAAGTTTGTTGAAACCTTTACTCATTGTTTATCGTATTTTCTCACATATTGTTGAGACCTTCACCATTACCTTTCCTTCCACCACCATTTCTGGGCACAGAATGTTCACAAAGCATTTCGTTGCCTTGCGAGACTAACTGTTATTTTCTTCTAATCTCTCTTAAACTGCAAGAGTAACTAAGATTCTTAGAAGAACAAATAGTGGTTTATTTCCTGATCTTGTTCATAAGTGATCTTACTTAATCTACTGCTGTTTAAGTCCCATTAGAACTCCTGACAGGTATATGATAGCAATTGTATAAAATAACATTTGGACCAGTACATACCAATCGGTATTCATTAACTTGATGTAGCACCAATTGCATCTCGATACTGCTTGGTATATCAGGCAGTATATGGCGGTTTGTTATCTGGTATCTTATTTTTGTTCCTACCAACAAGTTTTCTATTAATCCCAGACTGGATTTCTGAGAGCTGCTTGTAGCTTACTGAGCACACTGTTTATGCCACTGTAATCTGTGCAGTAATCCATCTTCACATGACCAAACTGATCTTCATCACTATTTTAACATATTGATCAATTCATCATTTTGTATGATTAATTAATTTGTGATGTGAAGTTTATAATATCCTTATTTTTTTGCCAACATTCTTTAATGTTGAGTTATGGATAAACATCTGCTCGTTAATCCATAATCTAGACTAACATGAACTTCGCCTTGTGTTCATCTGGAAATATAGGATTTACATTTGCACTTGATGAACCTCTAATTGATTGATTTCTCAGATACCTATGCTCTGTCTAAAGTGTTTATTAATTCCTTGGAAGGATAAGTATTAGTAAATATTTTTCATCTGGTTTCCCAGTAATTTACACTTAAATGTGTTTGTAATTATTTTTTCCCTTGAAGTTGAGGTGAATATTTTACTTGTAATTTGATACTCATGGTGAATATGTTTCAGATCCTGCTGCAAGTGCCGACCTAGCTGTTTTTCTTATGCAAGAAGGACTAGCCCACTTGTTCCTCATAGGGAAGAGGTAAGTGATACTAAAAGAGAATGAATTGGTCTTAGGACTTCTGTAAATTAATTATTCAGTTTGTTACTTAAACCACCAGTCAGAATATTTGTTATGAATACCTAAATGTTAGAAGACAACCTTAATTGCTTTTTTGGCAGAAATTTTATAAGATGTTTTTTTCTGAATTACCTTTTTTGTTCTATTTTGTTGCAATTCATTGTTAGTAATTTGAGATGGATAGTGTTGTTACATGAAGCTTCCTTCCTAGTGGCTCATCCTAAATAAAACTATGTGAGCAATGTTTGAAAAGTCACCATGTATATGTGTTTCTTCTGCAGCTACTAAAGACTTTTGAAAATGCACCGTCAGTATTACTTGTATCCTCATGGTTTTAAGCATTTTGAGTAAGTCCACTGAGGCAGTGTTTTTATTGTAATGAGACTTCATATGCTTTTGATTTGTTGAAACCATGATCTATTTTGCCGAGGGCTTTTGCAGCCTAGGATTTTTCAGTCCTTGCTTTTTGTATGGCTGCTGGGGATACAAAACGCATTTGCTTTTTGTATGATAAGTTGGTACGGGACATTGTCTGAGATTGTCTTAAATAAACAAAAAACCAAAGGAAAGGGAGGAAAATCATTGAATAATTGGTATAAGCATTAATCATGCCTGTGGTTTCTTGGTGTATCCTCATTGAGTTGAGAGAGTTCAAACTTCTTGTTATCCTTCTTTTCCTTTTCTTCCCCCCCTTCTCCTTTGTCATGTATCTTGAGGGGGATTTTGCCTCACCCGTTGGGTTGATCATAAATGCAGTGAGCTGTTTGATTGTCATAAATTGTTATTACAGAGACAGTAGGACGAGGATGTTTCATTTAGGTACTATGACATGTGCAAGTAATTATATCTTGGATTAGTTGTGTAAGAATAGTTGTTCTGTATGTTTGTATGATGAAAAATAACATGGGACCTTTTGCTTTGTTATCCTCTTTTTAATAAGTGTGACACCATCAAAGTTGTCAAACAAGAACTGAAAAATCCCATACCTTTCAAGGGGTTACTCGCCCTAGGAATTTTTATAACTTTGATGGTTCTGAACTTGTTTTAGGTAGACAGTTCTGCCATCTAAAATATATTGGTATGCACCATTTCCAGCATCTGGCTTGGCAGAGTGCCCTCACAATCATGTGTTGGGGGGAACAATAAAATAGAACTTGTAGGTGTTGCAACTAGTATTCACATGGGCTGCAGTATGTTTGATTTTGCACATAGGCTAAAAGTGAAATGCTCAGTGCAAGCAGTACATTGGTGCATGTCTGAGGCATCACTATAATATGATGAAGCTGCATGGGTATTCTTGTCTGTTGTTTGGTCTTTTGCATGTGTGAGGCATCACTATAATGCTTTCTTCTGTACCATTCTTCTAGTTATCCATATTCTTTTTTTTATCCCAAAAAAAGAAATCTGATTCCCAAATTTTTTAGTTAGTAAACCCAATTGACTGCCAGAACAGGACCAATAAGCTAGAGAGTGGAGAGAGACACTAAGTTATTGATGCTTACACCCAAAGCAATAATCCTTTTGCATAGAACCATATCTTCTGATGTCATCATTAGATTCATGTGTTATTACAAGTTAACAGTGTGCTATTGACTAATGTAGATATATGGCCTCTTTCTCTCTCTCTCTGTGCACACGAATTACTCTTGTACCTTTATACCTAACTAACCAGATGATTGATCTCCAAACAGCATAACTACAACTCGAGCTCGAATAGAGACCGCAATTCCTCGTAAGCATGGGCCTGCAATTGCTGGTTATGAGTTGGTATGCCGTGTACTATTCAGTATGGTTGTCTGTAATTCGATGTCCATTTGATCAAAATTAAGCAAAATTATCCATTTTGTAGGCTCTGAAGAAATTTTTCGAGAATGTTCTCCAAGTAAGTTTATTTTGGAAAATATTTTTTTTGGCACTTTTGATATGTGTTCTTAAGCCACAAAAGAGAGAGAATTTCATGTAAAAGTCTAGACATTTAGCTTTTTGGCCTGATAAATTATGCATCTTTTATAGGCTTTTCTGAAGCACATTGACTTTAAAGTTGTTCGATGCGTCGTGATTGCAAGCCCAGGTTTCACAAAGGTCCAATCAACCGACATTTCTAGAAAGAGATTTTTTTACGCAACCTGTTTGTCATATCTGGTTACTTCATAATTCTGTTAAACTTCATTGTTTGTTAGTAATTCCTAGTTCAATTTGGTCTAAATTATATGGTTCTCTTAATAAAAAAAAATGTTATCCTCTTCTGGATTTTTTTTTTTTTGGTTGAAAGAAATCGAATGAAAAGATGAGTACAGATGATGGATGTGCTTGTTATATTACATCTTGCTAGTTCTGAAAGTTAATTGGTCACTAAACAGGAGTTTAATGTGTTCTGCTTTAGTCTCGAGGTTCTTGGACCATCTTATTTGCTATTCTTTAGGTGATATAGTTGCAGAAATTTATTTTTTTGTGGACAAGATCAAAGATCTCATCATTCATTATGCCTTGATTATGATGCTTCAAGGTACATGTTTACCTACTTCATCATGTGGAACAAGTACAATATGGATAAGAAAGGAGAAATAGAAAGTACTTTTTCATTTTCTACTATGATGACGGTAGAAAATACCGACAAATTCATCATGAGATTAATTATTCCAATAAAAAGTAAACTAGTAGGTACTTATTTACTTCATGAATTAGCCTCTTTATCTATTCTTGCATGATCACTCTTGTGTAGGTCTTAACTAACATTTGGTTAGAGAAGTATTTGACCATTAAGAACCCAATAACTTTTCGTCTAGATGGGTGTTGGTCAGCAATCTTGTATCTCATCAAGTGTTAAGTGGTCATAGAAAGAATGAGTTATTACTTCAATTTTTTTGGCAAAGAATTATTGTGGTTTTCCTTGGTTGTAGACTCCAACAGTAACTGAATCAAATGTGCTTGTGGAGCTGGTAACTGTTTTGTAGCATCTTTTGTGTAACTTTTGTATTTGTCAAATTGATGAAATAAGTATTGATGAGTAGGTTCTCAAGATATCAAAGTAACATTACCTCGAAGGATGTTAACTAGCATGTCATCAGGCACAATCATATTCTTCCTCTCTTGAGAGAGGCCATCCTTTGATGTCATTTATGAGCCTCTCGTTGTAGAGCATTATGCGATGAAGCAAATCCTGTCTTTTTTGGAAGTAACTAATAATGAACGAGTACTGTTTTTTTGCTCATGTTATTAGTGAATGTTCAAAAAAATAATTAAACTCAAACCTATTATCTAGGACTTTACAGGAGCTGTATATTCCCATGTAAGTATCAATTGAGGTCCAATGAGGATTGTTCATGGTAATTTAGACTAGAATTGGCCCATATGGATCGAGGTCTTATCATACCTTGATATCTTATTACACACAAGTACATTCAACCAAGGTATACAGTTTCGAATGATTAAGGGCGGTACATATCGGTCCGACAGTAAACCGGTACGCGGACCGCTCGCTATCGGGCGGTATATATATAGAAGCGACGTCGCCCCGCCTGGGGAGAAGAGAGGCGACGTTGCACATTATTTTTTAAAATTATATATATATATATATATATATATATATATATATATATATATATATATATA